CCTGTTTTTTGGGAATATTCCCTGTCTCTGTGCTGGCAGGGAGGGCTGAGGTGCAGCTCCTGCTGGAGCCAAACCTGCATGTTCACAGTTGCCAGTGAAACATCCCGGGGCTTTTCCTCCTTCATTTCCATCAATATTCCCTCTATTCCTCTGGAAAACTCTCACCCCATGGAGGGATATTCCTCTTCTTTCCATTCTACTCTCTAAAAATCCTTGGGATTGATAGGAAATGGGTTTTTTTGTAGGTGACACAGTGACACATCCTAGGGCTTTTCCTCCTTCATTTCCATTAATATTCCCTCTCTTCCTCTGGAAAACTCTCACCCCTTGGAGGGATATTCCTCTTTCTTCCATTCCACTCCCTAAAAATCCTCGGGATTGATGGGAAATGGGGTTTTTTGTAGGTGACACAGTAACACATCCCAGAGCCTTTTTGTCCTTCATTTCCATCAATATTCTCTCTCTTCCTCTGGAAAACTCTCACCCCATGGAGGAATATTCATCTTCCTTCCATTCCACTCCCTAAAAATCCTCGGGATTGATGGGAATGGGTTTTTTTGTAGGTGACACAGTGACACATCCCAGGGCTTTTCCTCCTTCATTTCCATTAATATTCCCTCTCTTCCTCTGAAAAACTCTCACCCCATGGAGGGATATTCCTTTTCCTTCCATTCCACTCCCTAAAAATCCTCGGGATTGATTGGAAATGGGGTTTTTTTGTAGGTGACACAGTAACACATCCCGGGGCTTTTCCTCCTTCATTTCCATCAATATTCCCTCTATTCCTCTGGAAAACTCTCACCCCATGGAGGGATATTCCTCTTCCTTCAATTCCACTCCCTAAAAATCCTTGGGATTGATGGCAATGGGGTTTCTTGTAGGTGATACAGTGACACATCCCAGGGCCTTTTTCTCCTTCATTTCCATGAATATTCCCTGCTTTTCCTCTGAAAATCTCTCACCCCATGGAGGGATATTCCTCTTCTTTCCATTCTACTCCCTAAAAATCCTCGGGATTGATGGGAAATGGGGTTTTTTTTGTAGGTACAACACCTTGCCCAGCCGAAGGACCCTCAAGAATTCCCGTTTGGTGAGCAAGAAGGACGATGTCCACGTGTGCATCATGTGTTTGAGAGCCATCATGAACTACCAGGTGAGCCAGGGGGAGCAGGGAATTTTGTGGGAATTTTGTGGGAATTTTGTGGGAATTTTGTGGGAATTTTGTGGGAATTTTGTGGGAATTTTGTGGGAATTTTGTGGGAATTNGGGAATTTTGTGGGAATTTTGTGGGAATTTTGTGGGAATTTTGTGGGAATTTTGTGGGAATTTTGTGGGAATTTTGTGGGAATTTTGTGGGAATTCATGGAATTGCTGGGAAGGGGGAGGAAGGGTCGGTGCAGCATTTTGAAGGTGAATTTGGTGGAAATGTTTGAATTCTCATGGTTAAAATGGGAAGGAATGGACAGGATGATTCCTGTTCTTTAGGGATTTAGGGCAGGTGGGGAGGTTAATGAGCAGCTCCTGCTYATTAACATGCAGCTAATTAGGATTAATTAGAGTTTAGTACAGCCCTTCCAAACAGATTTTTCCCAAGATGGAAAATCCAAGTTTTCCTTGTATTTGTTTATGGCAAAACGCTTGGGATCACAGGAAATCACCCAGCAGAACAAAACTCACCTGACATTCCTGAATTCCCTCCCTCTCCAGTGGGATGTTGGGATCCTGCAGAATGCCCTGGGAGCACCAGGAATTTGGGATTTTCTGCCCAAACCTGGCAGAGATGGGGTGAAGAAATTGGGAGGATTTGTGGGAATTATGGTGGACACCTTGAGAAATTGGGAGGATTTGTGGGAGCTGTGAACACCTGGAGGAGAAATTGGGAGGGATTTGTGGGAGCTGTGAACACCTGGAGGAGAAATTGGGAGGGATTTGTGGAGGAAAAATTGGGAGGATTTGTGGGAATTCTGGTGAACACCTCGAGGAGAAATTGGGAGGGATTTGTGGGAATTCTGATGAACCTTGAGGAGAAATTGGGAGTGATTTGTGGAAATTCTGGTGAACACCTCGAGGAGAAATTGGGAGGGATTTGTGGGAATTCTGGTGAACACCTCGAGGAGGAGTTGAGAGGGATTTGTGGGAGCTGTGAACACCTTGAGGGGAAATTGGGAGTGATTTGTGAACACCTTTAGGAGAAATTGGGAGGGATTTGTGGGAGCTGTGAACGCCTTGAGGGAAAATTGTGAGGGATTTGTGGAGGAGGAATTGGGAGGATTTGTGGGAATTCTGGTGAACACCTTGAGGGGGAGTTGGGAGGATTTGTGGGAATTCTGGTGAACACCTTGAGGAGAAATTGGGAGAGATTTGTGGGAATTCTAGTGAACATCTTGAGAAATTGGGAGGATTTGTGGGAGCTGTGAACACCTTGAGGAGAAATTGGGAGGGGTTTGTGGAGGAGAAATTGGAAGGGATTTGTGAGAGCTGTGAACACCTTGAGAAGGAAATGGGAGGGATTTGTGGGAGCTCTGCCCTTGGAGATGGCAGCTCCTGGGATCCACAGGGATGGCAATGATGCAGGCAGCAGTCCAGTTAGCAATGGAGCATTTTCCAGAGGAATTCTGTGGGATTTTTGGGGTGCAGTGACTGCAGGAGAAGGTTGGGTTTGGGAGCTGAAYCCCAAATTCCAAYGTGGAYGATAAATGCTGGATAAAGAAAGRGGCTGGGGGAGGAAGGAATGGGCAGAGGGGTTGCAGAACATCTCTTGGACATTTTTTGCTGCTGAAATGGCCAATCCCTGAAATGGCAGGGAATTACAGAATCATGGAATACCCAGAGCTGGGAGTGTTTCTGTACGGTGGGAGAAGGAAATATTCCAATTTAAATTCCACGAGGTTTTGTTTGGCTGGAGCATCAGGAGGAACTGCCACGGGTGGGATGTGGTCAGAGAGGTGGGATTTGCTGGATTTGGGGTTTTGGTACCAAAAAAGGGAGGTGAATTTGGTGCTGTCCCCTCTCTCTCCAGTATGGATTCAACATGGTCATGTCCCACCCGCACGCCGTCAACGAGATCGCGCTGAGCCTCAACAACAAAAACCCCAGGTAGGGCTGGGCTGGGCCAGGGCTGAGCCAGCAGTGGGCACAGAGGGNAGGGATTTGTGAGAGCTGTGAACACCTTGAGAAGGAAATGGGAGGGATTTGTGGGAGCTCTGCCCTTGGAGATGGCAGCTCCTGGGATCCACAGGGATGGCAATGATGCAGGCAGCAGTCCAGTTAGCAATGGAGCATTTTCCAGAGGAATTCTGTGGGATTTTTGGGGTGCAGTGACTGCAGGAGAAGGTTGGGTTTGGGAGCTGAAYCCCAAATTCCAAYGTGGAYGATAAATGCTGGATAAAGAAAGRGGCTGGGGGAGGAAGGAATGGGCAGAGGGGTTGCAGAACATCTCTTGGACATTTTTTGCTGCTGAAATGGCCAATCCCTGAAATGGCAGGGAATTACAGAATCATGGAATACCCAGAGCTGGGAGTGTTTCTGTACGGTGGGAGAAGGAAATATTCCAATTTAAATTCCACGAGGTTTTGTTTGGCTGGAGCATCAGGAGGAACTGCCACGGGTGGGATGTGGTCAGAGAGGTGGGATTTGCTGGATTTGGGGTTTTGGTACCAAAAAAGGGAGGTGAATTTGGTGCTGTCCCCTCTCTCTCCAGTATGGATTCAACATGGTCATGTCCCACCCGCACGCCGTCAACGAGATCGCGCTGAGCCTCAACAACAAAAACCCCAGGTAGGGCTGGGCTGGGCCAGGGCTGAGCCAGCAGTGGGCACAGAGGGGTTGGGAAAGGATTCCAGAGGGGGATTTTAATGGGAAAACTCAGCTTTGTTTAGGATCAGATGGGATCTGTGGGGCTGAATGATGAATGAACAACGGGAAATGGCAGAAGCTGCTGGTTGTCACTGTAATTGAGATTTTTGTCAGGAAAACTGCAGATGGGAATTTAGAGCATTCCCATGGAAAATTGGATTCCAGGGAAGGGGCTGGGGGTGCAGAGCTGCTCCTGCAGGGAACTCTGGTGTCACTATTGGAGGATCCACGATGCACAGACAGGACAGTAGCTTGTAAAAGGCTAATTATTCAAAAAATCAGTCTCATTTATAGACTTCTGTGTGTTATTATTCCTCTTACGCATTCATTGGCCACCAAACTGCCCCAATAAATTCACTTAAAGTCCATTATTTAACTGCACCTCACCACCACTGGTCACCTGTAGCATTCAAGCATTCACAAAAACACCCAGTGCGGCCTTGGTGCTGTTTTTCTCCTTCTGTTATTTCAATTTCTTACTTCTGTAAGAATTAAAATTAAATTTCTTGCATTCTCAYGGGTAGAAATCCATCGTTTTTCTCCTCATGGGTTTTTCCCACATAACAGAAGAGAGCAGGAGTTTTACAAGGGTAACAAGGTTTTGTTTTATAGGGTTTTATAGATCCTCAACCCTCCAGCACCTGCCTTGGCCAGAGTTCTGCCTGCTTGAATTCCCAGCTCGGGATCTCAATCCCTGCCTGGTTTTGGGAAGCTTTAAAAGGATCTGCCACACTCCCAGCAGGGCTGCTTATTCCCAGGATTAATCCACGTGGGATGAGGCTCCATTTCCCCATTTTCCCAAAAGGATTAGGGATTGTCTCTGACATTTCTTTTTGGTTTCCCCAGGACGAAGGCGTTGGTGCTGGAGCTGTTGGCAGCCGTGTGCCTGGTCCGAGGGGGCCACGAGATCATTTTGTCTGCCTTTGATAACTTCAAGGAGGTTTGTGGGGCTGTTTGATCAAATTTGGGGGTCCCTTTTTCCTTTGTTTCTGTTTGGAGCCTCCTCACCCAGCTGAATTCCCTGCAGGAAGGGTTTTCCATGGGCTGCAAGGTTTTCCTTGGAGCTGCAGGGAAGTGCCGTGGTGTCCATCCCATCCTTGGCAGATTCATGTAAAAAGCTGGAATTCTGATGATTCCAGCTCCTCCCAGGGCAGGGAAATGTTGGGATGGGATATTTCAGCATTCCCAGCCCTTTGTCCTGGTTTCTGTGGATTTGTGAGGAGCAGCTCCATGGTTTTATTGGGAATTCTGATGAGCAGAATTCCAGGGCAGGACAGAAAAGCAGCTCTGGGATGCTCCAGGGGCTCCATTGAATTCCAAATACTCTGAGAATTTGGATCCCAACTGGGATCTGAGTGGGACAGGGAGCAGGGAACAATCCTGGCTGTGGGCAGGGAACTCTTCCCAACATTCCTGCAAAGCTGTTGTGCTGCTTTGTACAAAAATATTCCAGAATAAGTGGATTTGGGAGGGGAGGGGGTGCTTGTGGCATCTCTGGGTGAGAAATCATTTGGAATTGGAAAATAAACCAGGATTGGGGAGCTTTGGGAGTGAACCCAAAACTGAGGAGCTTTTCTGAAGGTGATCCATAATTTGGATAAATCCGATG